ACAGTGTTAAATTGAGCGAAATGAGGAATGGCTAAAATGCATGATCTGTTTGGTATTTTGAAAAATAAAAAGTATAAATATAGATTATATAGGTACGGTCCTACACAATATTATTCAAATATAGCATGATAAGTCCACTTTAATGTATTTCCCCCCAAAAAATCAGAGGACTGTCACTGAGGCCTCTGCACACCCACGCAGGTGCTTTCACTCAGCCAATCAGCCCTCTGTTACAACCTTCCTTAAGGCTGGCAACAAAGAGGGAGGCCACACATATACGCCAATCAGATGTTTATTTAACAGTTAACGTAAAATACCCCTGAGTAATTGTGTGTGTAGTGGGCGGGCCCAGGCAGCCCGGATTGACTCCCGGTAATCGGACACCTTTTTAAGATTTTAATGACAGCAAAATGCATTTGCTTTTAAGTGCTTGAGGTTGGTATCTTTACCAAGCAGGGGTTCAGTTTAATCAGCTTGAAACACTTGTGGTGAGCAGCAAGGGCTTTGGCAAAATGTACTTGTGAAGAAATGCTCATAATAATCAAAGTCTCCTTTTACTCTTGAGATCCAAGAAGCAATTTCCCTACTTGTTTCCTGCAAGTATGCTTTCCATCTCCGAGTGCACTTCTTGGATATTTCCTTGGATTATTCTGTGTTAATCACAGTGTTTGGTTGATTCTTTTTCCTCGTCATATTTAAATATGGCTTTCAAATAAATGTTGTCTTTTTTTTTTTAAAGGGTGCTATTAATTTGATAGCAGAGCACATTGTGCTACATTCATGATGTGGTGTGAGGTTGTGGCAGATTTCAGCCTCTCTTTTTTTACTTTTGCATCATCTAATTGGATGAGCTAATGACTGAGGGCCTGCAGCTGTGAGCTGTGGGCGGAGTCCTTCATGACAGCACACTCAACGTGGCTTCAGGCTGAAATGTTTCTTTTTTTTAAAAAAGGTCTTAAATTAATGTTAATAGTGCAGTGTTGTGTCTTCAGTGTGTGAGGTTACACTAGATTCATTTGACTGATTATAGCAGACACAAGGTGGTGGATGGCTGTGGTGCTCTACTCTACATCCATCAGGTGTGTTAAATTACAATCTTCTTCACAAGGTGCGCCTTCACTTCTTGATGGAAATTAAGATGGCAACCTGAGATGATACCTGCTAACCATTTATTTGTTATCTTTTGAGGAATTATAATATAATACAAAATAATAAGAAACTTTATTCATATCAAATGTTTCAAACGAGCAGTTTTCAAGTGCTACACAACTAATGATCAAAAGGGTGATAGCACACAGCATGAAAACATTTATAAAAAACACATCATACAGCACAACCCAAACTGCAAGCAACACATCTAAAAATAAAAATGCCAGCCTTGTTAAATGTATTACAATTGTTGGACAGAACTAGCTGGCCACAGTGAGGAGATAAAACGTTATTGGTCTGTCCAGCTAACCTCAAATACTATATATATATATACTATATATATATATACAATAGCCTGATGTATTTTGTTCACATTCGTGATTGTCTAGCGGCCAATGCCCTTATGGTTGCGGTCATTATCAATCTTTTAAAACGCTTTTTTTATTGAGTTTCTCATAAGAAATTGAGTCCAAATTAGGCTTACTGTGTCAGTAATAAAACATGATTAAAAAAACAAGATGGAGTTGACTTAGCATGATACAAAATAAAGTAGAATTGACCCAGGAATAAGGCTTAATATATTGTTTTTACTTTAATGTTAAATAATGATGATGAAGCTCACACTATCAGCTTAATACAACAGCATGCAAGCCCAGCAGTGTGTAATGCTTGGGTGGCCAGCCCCTAATCACATTAGAGAACCGTACATCTTGAACTACAGCCTCTCTTCCATGTCAGAGTCTATTAGCGAGGAAAAGCCTGGTATTAATATCCCAATATGACAGTCCCTGTGTTATAACACTATCGTGTTCCTCTCAGCTATCTGATTCATATGTAAGTAGGTCAGTGGTGCCGGGCCCGGCTATGAATGGGCTCTGTTAGCTGAAGATCCACGGGCTCAAAGCAATTACACATTAGCACGGGGCTCCGTCCCAAATTTCCCTTCTAACGTCTGCAGCTCGACCCTGTAGCTCTTCCCAGACCACACATTAACAGCACTCCTTAACATTTAATAATTAAACTTTAATGTACTGTATAAAAGGTGTCACTGAATACTCATATATAATAGATTGTGTAGCTTTAAAAGTAATCAAAGAATGTGAGAACCACGATTATGGTTATTAAATTGAAGTATATAAAAGCAGCTGGAAACAGTTTGCTACCACAATAATGAATCCCACAAAGACATTTTTACTGTCATATTTTTGGATCATCCCATCCTCAAAATGGAATTGACATGACAATAAATCCATGGCACCAATATTCCAAACAACATTCACTTTTATGTTGCAACCAGACGAGCTGCTAATTTAATTTATTTGAGTCCGCTTAAAATATGCTTGATTCATCATTTATTTTAAAAGAAACAATCTCCAAAGAACTGCTGACTGACTGTATTACACAATCTATTAATCGACATTTTCTTTTGTTTAGTCAACGATATCTGATCTTAATTTAACTTCACAAAGCTGTTGTTCTTTGTGAAAGTAATTAACAGTAAAGACTCATTTTGGATGAGCATTTCAAGTATTTTTTTCTCATTTACCTATATTTGAAAAACCTATAAACAACACATAAATGACACACACACACACACACACACACACACACACACACACACACACACACACACACACACACACACACACACAAACACAAAATTACGAGATTTAGAAAAATGCAACCCTAAGATTTTTCACATTAATGCTAAAATGAAAAGTCAATAGCTTGCAGATCCTCCATATAAATAACCATAACAGGCTCATGCAACCAGTTTTTGAGTCACAGTGGGGATGGTGTCTTTCAGCCTTTGAGGATGCTTTTCTTGCTAGAACGACGCCCATCAAGCAGCCGGAGAATTGAAAAGTCCTCTGAGCACCCACAGAGAGCCTCGTAGGGTGAGCGAAAATATAAATTGTTAAATCCCTCATTTGCATATCTGTAAAACATATTCTAGCCCTTAGAAAGAGTGAAGGAAAGTGAAACACGCACCATTTTTTTTATCTAATGCTACTTCATTTAATTTGAGAGAGAAATATTGTGTTAATAGACAAACATGTTCTTAATTTGTTAGTTAAAAAAGGATGTATGATTCTATAATAATACAACACTTTGAAAGGAGCTGTTCTGTAAAACAAGTACTTTTACTTTTGATACTTTGACTAAATGTTGGTGATGACACTTCTGTGCTTTTCCTTAGCTACAGATCTGAGTACCTCCAAGTGTATCCTTGAGGAGCTCAGTGAGAACACTTCAGTGTTCGGTTGATATCTTTCCTCCACTTTATATGTTTCTAAAGCAGTATTTCTCTTAGCACATTCGCATGATGTCCCATGGTGACCTATTCTTCTCACATTTGAATTTGCTCTTGTAACATTGTTCACATACTTGTTACACTTGGGTGCTGTTGTAGTCTTTTGACACATCACCTGTTGCCATAATCGGAGGTCACTAAATCCCCACCATGCTGTTACTTTTCCTTCTTCCCATCCTCAAGCTACTTTGATGCCCCACTTATCACCACTGCATTGTAAGTAGTTCTGAGCTTAGAAAGGGGATTAGCTTGTTCGCTTTGGTTTCTCACCCAGGATGCTGCCTCAGTAGAATCCATGCATCAAATCCATCCGGTAAACTCGGCATTAAATATTGATCATGGTATCACGTACAACAACTTTTTATTTATTATTTTTGTTTTGCTGCGCTAGGCTTAATGTGCGCTGTGAGAGGTTTTTCTGCTAATGAGACAGCAGAAGTGCTGCAAGTCATCTTCACCACCAAAGAGTTGATCAAAGCCTAAAGATTACAGATTATTGAAATGAGTGGTGCATGGAGGGGCCAAAAACAGGAATATCTTTTTAATGATCACGAGAAAGGTTTGCACAAAATACATAGTGTTACATATATATTTCCTGGCTTATTATAATGCAAAGAGTGCAGAAAAATGAGCTTCAAGTGATAGAAGTACATACATTAGCTGTCCAAAGACGCAGAGGCAGGGGTGTTCTTTGAAGGAGGCATCAGCGGAGAACAATCCTCGATGACAGCGTGTCTGATCATGAGGCGCAGCCTTAGATCTTTTTCCTTTTGGAGCATCTGTGGAGCAAGTTGTTTGACACTTTCGAAACATACATGACAGTGTAATTAATAAGGCCTTACCTGTTATGCATATTAAAGAGACCAATCATTAATTTAGCATATTCAACTTACATTCTCTCACACCTAAGAGGTTGTTAACATAAATACTATATTATATATATATATGTATAAATTATGTTTATGTTGCCAAATGTATCCGTAAAGGACCCATTAACATGTTGTGTGTAATAGCATGTAGTATACTGATTTGACAAAGCTTTTGTTGTCCTGTGTGCATGTAAAGAGGGGGCCTCTTACACTTATGCTATGGTATCATTTAACATTTATTTTTTATTTTAAATAATACAATAAATATACTACAATAGAACATTGGCTTTGGTAGAGTTACAAGTTCATCATTTTCCCTCAACTTCACAATTGTGGACATGACCTTTTATTCATCCGTACCATTAGAAAAGGCATGTTTCATGATGAATAAAATGTGGACTAGAGATCATGTCACTACAAAATTATAACAGCAAGAGAAAAAAACTTTACAATTTCATGCATACAGATAGGTTTTAATGCTTCAAAAGAGATACAAGAGTGGATGGCCACAGTAAACTTGAATTTATTGACATAAAAACCAATATAACTTCTATCCTTTTATCCTTACACAGGTTTGACAAAGACTGTGAAAAACAAACAAACAGACAGACAAACGGACATCTACAAAATGAAATGAAACAAAAACAATGGCAGCATCACTGCTGGTTCTGGAAATTTACAAAAATGTTGTTTCTCCTTTTTCTTTTTGAGAGGAAAGTGTTAAATTTGGGTGTACTGCATCACAATGAAAAACAAAGTCAAAGATCTACAAGCATATTGAGTTATCTTAACAGAAATGGTTCAAGTCACATATTTAAAGATTTAAAAAAAAAAAACCTATGTATGAAGAGCGGTAAAATCCTGTGGCAGATACTAGTGGTCATAAGCATAGAGAGTGCATAGTTTAAACAAAGAGCATAATTACAATAAGGGCAAAAACAAAAGACCAACAAGCAATCTTTGATGCTGCATGAGCCAACGCTTTCATCTGATGACCTGCTTCTACTGTGAGAAAAAATACTTTTCAAGTTGTTTCCCATTAAAAAAAAAGATTTCAAGCCACCATGGCCCTTAAAGCTATATTAATATACCTGAAAACCTTTGGTGGAAGCGTTTAGGGTTTTATACACCAAACAAAACTTATCCCATATCCCTTTTTGGGTGCTTTGGCCCAATCACAACATGTCCACTCCTCAACTCCATGATGCAGCTTCTTAGAGCAATGATATGCAAAGCCAACAGCACCATCTTTCCTCTCGTTATTCCAACATTTGTACAAGTTTGTGCGGTCCGCTGAAGCAGGAGACAACATACGCCGCCATGCTGCACTGATCTGTGAGTGGATGTGTAGAGAAATGGCATGCAAACACCACTGCTGAACATTTGAAGAAAAACAAGTAAATAGATGCAGCAAAGATCCACCTGCGTCGGATGTGGTGGTAAAGAGTCAAGGGGGCTGCTGGCGGTGGAATATTATCACCGCACATTTTCTTTCATTCAAACAACACAAATTAGAAAAACACATAGCACCACAGAAGAGAGAAAATAGCACCTAGGATTTGATTTCTTTGTGTTTTCATTTCAATGTGACATCACTTCCCATTGCATAGTCAGATAGATGTGTATTTGAAGAAAAGAAAAAATAGAAGCTGTTTATTAAGTTAATAATATTAACCACCAAGCTGGGTGTTCTGTTCAGAGGGCACAAAAGGAGGAATGTATTTTGTGTGGTCGTTCGTTATGCAAATCACATAATATCACAGAGCTTGTTTTCGTCTTTTATTTCCATTCTGTTCTTAAATTACAACAAGGTGTGCTCCACAACCGCAACAAGACAGGACTTCCCAATTTGTTTCTTTTGAGTTTTTTTAATTTACAAGTCGAATTTCCTCACTTTTGATATATTTCTACCATTTACCCCTGTATCCATCATATCCTACCTCACAATTAAAAGGTCACATGCATGTTTTGAAGCCAGAGGCAATACAAATTACCATGAAAAATATACAGAATGTACTTACAAACATACAAATTATTTATATATATTTATATATATATGGTCCATTCCAAGGGAATGGGGAGAGAATTATGCACAAACAAAGCTCCCGTAGTGAATGAGCGAACAAAACAACAAAGGACAAGTGGAATAAGCCGGGGAGGGGCGGGAAAACATGAGATCAGAACTGAAAGGAAAACAAAGAGCCAAATCAGATGGAGTCCGTGGCAAATGCAGCGAGCGTCTGGAACGGTTGGAGCTCTCAGGGTCGCCTTCCATGTCTAAATCTAAATGGAGAATGGTGGCATGGGGCTAGGGTTGTTTGTGTAGAAGGCAGGATCTGACATCCAGTTTCAAAACGTGCATGTGATGGAGAAGGCACACTGAGGTTTCAAGGTTATTTTCCTCTATTCCTATAGAATTTCACTTGATTTCATTTTTACTCATACTTGTTGCTTTATGGAAAAAAAAGTTACTTTTTTACAAATAGAATTGTCCTATTCTTTTTCAATAGTTTTTTTTTTTTCTCTGAGAAAACAAATATATGCTTTTTTTTCTCCATTTGTTCAGTAAACAGTCTTAGCCGATGAAACAGACAGGGCCCACTTCAAATCCAAACTTCTGCGCGGAGCCGCCAAAGTCGTTGAACATAATGTCCACAAATGGCACCTGTTCCACCTTTGGCGTGTTGATCTCAAGTACTGTCTTTTCATAACCCTTTTTCAACTGTGGAAGAGAGAAGAACACAGCAGGAGCGAGAGTTAGTGAGGAATAATCATTTCTTCAGAATAAAGAAGATCACACACTCATTTTGACTGAGCCTCATCAAAGACAACAGAAACATAATGATCAAAGCCTCTCTGTTTGACTTACCGCACAGCCGTCGACCACAGCGCGGATGTAGGGGTTGTTATCGTAAGACATCTCCTCGTCGTTGGAGCCCAGGAAGCGGATGGCCTTGTCGTAGCCGTCCTGCTCCTGGTCGTGCCAGGCCACCGACTGGTAGCAGTTGTACGTCATGTTCTGTCTGGCAGCCGCGCTCAGCAGCCGCATGAAGGTCATCTGGACCACGCTGACGGGGCTACCCTCGGCATCCACGTAGGAGAGCTGCGGAGAGGAAACCAGATGGCGTTGAGCATCGGAAAAGGTAACACCAAGAGAAGGGACCAGTGTGAGGAACTGAGGGGGGCTATAAAGATTAAATGAACACACCATCATGTCTGCGCTGTGCACTGTTTCTGTCCTTTGGGAGCCATTTTGATTACATTTATGACTAGTAATTAGTATTCCTGTTTCACTGCTGTGTTTGGATTTATAGGACGTATTTCTTATTGCTAAGTGTTAGAAAAGGACGTGTCATCCGAGGATACAGAGTTAATATACTACCATGTTCTGGGAGAGCACAGACAGAACTAACAGAATGAGATGTTTTCTATGTATCAGAATAAGAATCAAGTGTATTGCCAGGTACGTTTACACATACTAGGAATTTGCTTTGGTGTCTAATCTAAACAATCTAATGTTATCTGATCATAAGAGGATGAGCTTAATATATTACATTATTATTATTATTGTTAACAAATCCCATACTTTACGACGCACCTACCCTGGTTTTACACTCAGCTTTAAGCTCTATTAGTTCTTTTTTAAGATTTAAATCTTTAAAAGCAGGTTGCAAATATAAAAAAAGATACATCTTAATTTATTGTCAGTGGGGATATTCAGAAAGACAGAAATAAATACAGCTAAATGAAGAGAGAAAGTCAAATGGTACACTAACTAAACTCAAATAGAAGAAGCTACAGTATACGGCAGCATGTTGAGACAAGTGACATGGTATAGTCCGTACAAAATGTAATATCAAATATCCCTATCATTTCAAACTGTCTGATTTATTCACTTGAAAGCAAATGTTGAAACAGGTATAAAAGGTGACTTTGTTGGAGAATATTTCCACCTGCAGAATGGCACTACGGGTGTTCAGTATTTAGGATTGATTTTAAATTACCCACAGTGCCCCTGTTCATGTTAATGTCTGCCAGTGCAACTGTGAGTCTCACTGGTGCATCTAATGGAGCTCTGTTAGTATAATTACCTCATTAGTGGTTTTGCTCTTTTTATGTGGATTTGTTAACAATAAATAATATAAAAAACTACCCAACCTTAGGTCATTTTGTAAAAATGGGAAAAAGTCTCTAGGGTAAAGATGATAGTGAAAAACAGTCCTTTTTCTGAAATGCTGTTGATAGAAGCAAAACTAAACTCCTCGTTTAAATGTTAATTTGTAATTATGAAAAATATGTATCCAATATCAATAAATTATGGTAAGTGCATACAAATGTACTTATCTTAATAGGGAATATGTTGCAGTAATGATTTGCTAATTGCCTTGTAATCAACCTAGAATTAACCTACATTTTTACATTCTAAAGGAAAGAAATATTATCCTCTAATCCGATAATAGCTCTTATCATAGCTTTGCTTGTTATCATAAATGAGAAGACGGAGGACTGTGAACCAGTCACGGTTCAGCTAAATGTCCACATGTGACTATCTACATACCAACCATCAGGAATCCATTAGATCCACAAAGTGGCTTCGCCTTTCAGACAAACAGGACTGACTGAGAGTGGAGGACATGCAGCGTTCACACCATGCAGCCGAGCAGCAAACCGTCTGAGTCTGGACGTCTTTCTTGACTTGTTGTTCACACACACACACACACACACACACACACACACACACACACACACACACACACACACACATGCATATACAAACCCAGAGCACCGACACTCTTGACATGAACAGAGGGAGATAATCATCCTCTTCATTCAAAGTTGCTGTCTTCTTCTTTTGCCGTGAATTGTACATGCTATTGATGAAGTAACACGTACAAAACACTATGTTTGTATTTATTTTGATTTGTTGCTGTGAACATGTATTTGTTCATGGCCTCTCTGTGGCCATATAGTGGTTATGTCCAAACACGTGTCTTTAATGTTTGTGTTGTGATTGTAGTAGCCTTGTCTTTGTTTATATTTTGACTTGATTAGATTTTGTCATTTTGTTTTCTTTCTTGTTTTTCTTTCCTTTTTATGGTTTTGCTGTTTGAACAATATGTTAGGACCCCCTTGATCCTAACATAAATCCTAAATAAATAAATTTCAGTTCAAACATGTTGTGCCAAATGTTGATTTAATTAGCTAATGAATCGCTAGATATAAACAATGAGGACTTCTTGCAATATGTCTGTGAGTGTCGGTATGTGGCTCAACAAAGTGCCGCTGCTCTTCTTCCTCAGAGCGGCCGGGTAGTCCCATGCATTTCTGACTTACCCCGCAACTCATCCCCCCCCCACCAAGGCGCAGCGTGTGGATCCAGCCCAACATCGCCAGGGAAACATTACCTCTTTATCGTCACAGGCGCAAGTCAACAGTGACTGAATACCCAGAAGCCCCTGGGTGGTGACTGAGTGCCTGACCTGTTTGACTCAGAGCTGCTCCGCCGGATATAAGTAGTGTTTAAGAGAGACGCTGAGAATGTGAGTGCAGCTGAATGGCAGCAGTGACACTAACCCCCCCCCACCCCCCCCCCCCACCACCCTTGTTGAGTATGGATGATCTGCTAAGGTGTAAAAAAAATAAGATGCGTAAAGGAGAGAAGTGTCCTTCTCAGGTGTTTTTAAATCGACTTAGCATGGATATCACTTGTTGAGTCACGGGTCGAGGCACGCAGTCACGAGGAGATGCTCTCTGAATGTAGCAGAGGTGTGCCAGAGTAGTCAATACATTTAAACAGTAGGTTTTCCATTTGTTAAACTCCATCAAATGCCAAATATTACCTTTATACTCCACAAACCTCTCCTTCATTTCCTCGTGAGAGCATCACCTACCTCTTATTGTCTGACTGCAGGTGATTGCAACTTGTTTGGAGTCATGCACCACGATGAAGTAACAACCAACAAGCAGGAGAACGTACTTTGTAGAGCAGAACCAGAACCATGCAGAGCCTCAGGAACACAGAGCCCCGGCCGGGACCAGGACTCTGGGGACCGCAGGCAGGGCCACTTACCAGGGAACCTCTCTTGTAGTGACTATACCATGTGCCTGGCGAGTCTTTGGGCCATTTTGCCATTTTGCTCTGTAAAATATAAGAGGCGTTCAGGAAAGGGAAAAGGACTTCTGTCAGGAGTCTGGCTTACCAGTTTACCACGTTTGAATTCACTGAACCAGGAGCCGGGATTCTCCTTTACCCAGGATGTGAGCCTAGCCTGGAGGCATGAGCGACAGAGGAGGGAAAAACAGCAGTGTTAAAGAGAGGAAACACATCTGACAGAAACACATCCCCGCTTTTCTTTTTCTCCTCCCCTCTTCCTCCTTCTGCTTGTCCTTCGAGGAGTCTTCCGGACCTGAAACAGCATTCAGCAGGATCAACCAGACCAAGCGGTCCAGGGAAGAATATAATAGCGAGCCATTATGCCATTTTGTATAGTACAAACTGTAGCTGGCAGCGAGTTGCTGCTGAGAAATTCATGAGTACACAGTGATTAATTAAGAAACGATGGCCTGCGAGGAGCTCTTATACCTCGGCCTCCATCCCTGCTGTTCAGTGTTAGTGTATGCAGCCATGGTGCACTAACTTTGTTATGCCATTAAAAGCTGTGAATTGGCCAACAGGGCACGGCTCTAATGATCCCAGCCGTGACAATGATGAATTTAACTATAAATAGATAGCAGGGTTAGATATGGAACTGTCATTGATAGCTTAATGTGTTAATGACTGATGAGCCGGGGATCACATATCGCTGGGAGATGGCATACATTAGACCCATGCTGCCTTCAAGGTGACATTCAGTTGTTTTCACTAGAGTGGACAAAAGTTGAAATATCTGTTCGTGACTTTATCTGTTTCCAAAACCCATTACATGTGTCTGCTTTTCTGTACAGTGCGTGGACATTATGTACTCCTATAATAAAAGTGCCAATCCGAACGCACGTGGGTGTGTTCGTAGGGCTCTGCACGGAGACTGACAGGCTTTTTCTTTTCACCCCTCGACACAAATGAGAGCAGTCCATCACCGGCGCTCAATAAAAAGTCTGCTTCATTATTCTAAGCTTAAGCAAACTCCTGCTCCTCTGAGGCTCAGTGAGTGGGATCATTAAAACGGCTGTAGCACTGTACTATTACACAACCTCCACCCGTCAGAAACACTGTTCCCAATGTTTCTCCTCTCCTCCACACACTCTTGCATAATGAACTGACAATCTCCTCCATGTGTCTGTCACCTGCCAAAGGGTCTATGGGTTCTTAATGGCATTCTAAAAATGGCACTGAGACAACAGTATGGATTGGCATGTGCTTAAATGAGGGAGTTTTCACCCTAAGGTTATCAACCGTCAAAACTAAACTGAGACTTAGCTAAATGACCTGGTCCCTTGTGGGAAATGCAGGGAGAACTGTTGTGTAATGTCCCACATCTCCTTGGTAATCTCATGGAGGCTAATTATATACATGAGTTAGCACAATAGAATCACTGTTGCAAACCAGGGCTGTGTTGAGATGTGGGGGATATTTATACTCAGTCCCAGATGTGAGGAAAATCATACACTTATCTGGAGTTTTCAGCTTGTGCTCGTCTGTCAATCAAATCACAAACTGGAGGATTATTATAATGATAAAATGTAGTTCCTTTCTCTTTTTCATTACACATCATGTTGCTAGCACTAATCCAAAAGCTGCCTGTCTGTTTTCTGAGTGTGTTTCTGAGTGTGTGTGTAAGTGTTTGTGTACGCAGAGCCAGACTTACCCCTTCAGACTTCTTATCTGGGAAGATGCAGCTCTCTCCTCCTGCTGTGAAGTTGCAGTAAACCTTGAAGGAGTCCCGAGAGCAGCCCTGGTTTGGATCAATCCAGTACTCACCTTGAGGAATGGAGACAGAGGGAGAGCAATTATTGAGAGGTACACGATTTAAAGTCCATACTGAACTCCATCGGCTGGGCAATATAACCCTTCAAAATGTATATTCTATGGTCGTTTGTTTAGTAGCAGTCTATTATAGTGTTTTGTACTCCATAGATTAACTGTATTCTTTATATGAATAGATTTACTCTTTCTTTTTTTGTTTTGTACATGCTGCTGTCTCTGTTTCCCAGTTTTGGATTAATAAAGTATAATTTAGTCAAATAAAATCTATTGGTTTGAATATGTTCAAAATGATAGGAAAATGTATATACTAAATGTATTTATATCACAATATAGGCTAGACCTATTTATTTATGATTTAATCATATTATTATATCTACGTTTTTTGATAGAAAAGGGAAAGCACTAGATCCTTCCAAACGGATGCTCGAACTTTGGAAAGTTTGATATTTTTACTATAAAAATAACAAATAATACATTATTTATTTTCTACCTATTGACTTAACCCCCCTTTGTTTCCCCCGAGCATTAAGTGAGGGTCATGCATTTGGAGATGTGTCTCCACTGTATTTGCAGTGTTTCATATAGATCTGGCTTGAAGCTAGACTGAGGCTTTCAGGAATACAACAGAGCTCAAATGTGCATAGGCTTTGGACAGAGCCCATTTCCTTTCATTTCTAGAGAGCTGCTGTGTGATAACGGCCGTCTCATTTCAGATTCATTAAAAACCGTGACGAGGGAGGGGAGGACGAGACAATGGGACCTCATGCCTCATTTCAGACGTGTAATACAAACCATCGGGGAAGTCGGGGTGGCAGAGCTGCAGGTCTTTACAGGTACGCGCCGGGTTGCTCTGCGTTCCCATCGGATGCTTCATCTGCTCGATCTCCAGCTTCAGGGAGTTGAGCGAGCCAAAGATTTCCTCCATGCCGTCTTCGTAGTCCTTGTAGTTGGTATCTGCAGGCATGTCGTCCATCACCTCGCTGGCATCGATGTTCCTGCGATTTCTGCCCTTCATGTTGGACATCATGGGGAGGGGGTGAATGACATCGCCGGGGGGGCCCTGTGATGGGGTGAGGAAAGGAGGGGAGACAAATGCCAGTCAGAGATAAGGGCGGAGATTATACAAATGTCTGGAGATAATGACTCACACTGAAGGATACGTTATGAAATGATGATTGAAAACAATTCAGAAGTCCTTGACTTACAGGTTGGCCAGGAGGTCCAGATGTACCGGTCTCTCCCTTCGGTCCAGTTTGACCCTGAACAGGAACAATGAAATGATGTTGTGTGAGTGTTGTGATTAAAGATGCACAATTTGGAACAATAATACTCTCATTTATCTTGAATCAACACTGAAGACTTCTCTTTCTGCCTCTGCCTTTTATTAAATCAAATAATAACTGAAATCTTACACTGCACTGTATCTTTTATTCTTGTATTTTATATCTGTATACTGTATTTCAGCTTGTTTTTTCTGGTATTGTCTGGGCATTAAGTGAAGTACCTATATTTAAAAAAGCCATTTTGTAATGTGTTGCGTTTGCACCATATTGTAATGCTTTAAATGTTTTCATTTATTTTTTAAATCGATTTCAATTGCCTTGTGTTGATGCGCTATATAAATAAACTTGTCCCGCTTTGCCTGACAAATAAAGTAGTGTTATGATGGCCCACTAGCATTAACTGAATGTAGCAAATGAGACATAGTTTTATGTGAATACATGCTCATTTCTGGCTGCTGCAGATGTTTAATTGTAAAGCTTTCATCTGCTTATTAGTTGTTACTTATTGGATGCACATTTCTGTAAAATACTTACAGATGACCCTTTAGCTCCTTTAGGACCAGATGGACCCTGAAGACAGAAATGGAAGGAGGAATCAATATTAGCTCAGGCATTACAAGCTATGCAGTTACACACACACAGTAGTACAACATGTATGATGAGTCTTACAGGTAGTCCAGGGGGGCCGAGGGGACCGAGAGGACCTGAAGGACCGGCAATACCCTAAAGGACAAAACAGAGAGTGTGAATCCATAACTGCTTTGTGAAAACAGAGGAAGTTGAAACACGATGCAACTGTTTTAACTAGAATGAGGGATCGTTCGCCTGTGCCCAAGTTAATAAAACACCAAAGAAGAAGAAGATTATTGGTACAAATACAGATCAAAATCAAACAATAAAACATATATGAGTCCTAAACATTATTCATTTCCCTCAATTTTGACTGTTTTATTTTTCTATGTAGTTAAAATGAAATGTTTATCCTGCAGAAGTTTACTGTCAGAAAAGATAAATCAACTTTCTTTCTTCCCCTTCCTTCTATCTCTTTTTACTACAACTTCAGTTACTCATTCTTTTAGATTGAATGTGTTATCAGAAAGAACTCAGTTATTCTCTTCTCTCTGAAAGAACATTGTGTGGGCCTTTTAATGAGACTGCAGCGTAGTTTAGTTGACTCACATTGTCTCCCTTGGAGCCATGTTGTCCTGGGGGGCCGGGCAGACCACGGTCACCCTTCTCTCCCTGTTCTCCTGGGGGTCCGATAAGACCAATAAGCCCAGGATGGCCCTGAGGGTAGAGAACAACACACACACATATTATCAATACAGCAGTCAATAATACAGCAACACAAACATTAATAACACATCTATCTGGCAGAGGCGCTGATAATTAGGGTAATGATTGGATGGCTGGTGGCGAACAGGTCTAATCAATCTGTTAGTAAATAGGTCCATTAGTCTTAGTGTTAAGCTTGTGCTATACAAACATTCAGCTGGACAGGCTGCTCACCTTTTCTCCTTTAACGCCAGAATCTCCTTTCATACCAGGTAAACCAGGAGGACCCTGTGGACATTGAAAAAGAATACATGTTAAAGCTTCAGCTCAGATTGTACATATTATGTGAGTTCAAAGGCCAGGAGCTGCTTCTACTCACCATGGGTCCCGGAGGTCCATCTGGGCCTGGAGAACCAGGAAGACCTTGCTCTCCCTGCAAAGAAATACCAATTACAGCGTGTTCGTACTCGGCTCATGAGAAAACACGTCCCTATAAATAGCCCGGCCCCTTTACAGTATGTTCAGCAGCATATTGAAAAGCGTTTATGTGCACCTGCTCTGTAAGCTGTTTTAACAGAATCACTTTACTTACAACTGGGCCAGGGATACCCCGCAGGCCTTCAGAACCGGGCTTGCCAGGTGATCCTTGAGGACCAACGGGGCCTGTCTTTCCTTGGGGACCTTCCAAACCAGTCTCTCCCTTTAACACAAAAATAAACACAAACATTAGATTCTTGCTCATTTCCTGGAGACTAGACATCGTTGGTGGAGGTGAACTGAAAAGAGATTATTGTTGAATGTGTTACCTTAGTCCCCTTCTCTCCTTGTCTTCCCTCAGGTCCTGATATTCCATGGGGGCCCTGGAAAAAAAAGATGAGAACATTTTAGTAAATTGATATTGATAACATGAAGCAACGACAACAGAGAAGAGGACTTTACTCACTCTCTTTCCTGGGGGTCCAGAGGGACCAGACTCTCCAGTGGGTCCAGGAGAACCCTATGTTTTAAGAAATGAAAATATAATTTATTTTGTGATTTAAATGGCAACTTTCTTAAAAAACGATGATTTTTCGGCACATTGGTGCACAGCACTCACAGCTTGACCAGCCTCTCCGTCATCTCCCTTGTCACCAGCGGGTCCATCTAATCCCTGGATAGGAGATAAAGAGCCTCAGTTCTACTGCCTTGCATCAAAAACACACTGTAAGGAAAATATTGCACTTTCTATGAACTCATACGTACAGCTGCACCGGGCTCTCCAGGGGGACCAGGGTCACCAGGGAAACCACTTGGACCCTGAAAATCAATAAAACTTACTTTTACAATTTTCAGTGAGAAAACAAAGTTTGATCACAGGGTTTTTCCTTTGAGTGAGATTAAATCATTTATAAGAGAACAATGGTTTTTCTGAAGTAGGGTAGAAAAAGGCTTACGGGGCTTCCTTTGGGACCGTCATCTCCAGGGGGACCCTTAGGGCCGGGGGGTCCTGATGTACCAGCTGGACCACCCTCTCCCTTCTCTCCTCTCTCTCCTCTTGGACCCTGGAAAAAAACACAGCCATTGAGTTATTCTTATTCATGAATGATAGTGGAGAACAAATGAAAAATTGCAGTATAACTTCATAACAACATGTTATAACATTATACTTTATGCTCTTTACAGATACACTGATTTGATCATTTCATTAAATTAGTGGAAACAAAAGGATTGGTCCTTTTATTTTTAGGATGGACTTATTACAGCTGCAACTGATTGTTTAGTTAGTTCAATGGATTCATCTGTTGGTCTATTCATTGTCAGAAAATAGTGAAAAATGTCAAATCAATCCAAGGCGACCACTTTCAATTTGTCAGTCCAAAACCCAACAATATTTAATTTATGAAGAGACTGAAATACATTTGACAATTCATTAATGATCAAAAAAGTTGGCAAATGTTTTCTTTCTTGTGTGACGAATCGATAAGTTAACCAATCATTGCAGCTCTAGAACTAAATCATGTAAATATGGAGGAAGAAAACCAGGTAACTCACTGGTCCTCCGAGTTCTCCCTGAAGTCCGGGCACTCCTGTTTCTCCAGCAGCTCCCTGATAAGAGAATGAAGGGGAGGATATTAGAGGGAGAGAGAGAGAGAGAGAGACATACATTATCAGAAGTGATTTGTTGATCCAACTTGGTTCCAAAAACCCCATCATTTACAGCAGCCCCCACTGTCCCGGTGCCCTTGTCACCCATATGGGTATAGAAAGAGATGACACAAGAGATTTCAATCCATCAAGTGCAGAAAGATCGGGAGGCTGGAGCCAGGGGGGCGCTGACCTTGCTCTTCTCCCTTGACCCTGCCCATATATCTTGTCCTCGTCCCCCTGCCTTATTGGATAGTTGCTCTGTTGACTCACCTATACAGCGGGCACTATCGTTATTCACTGTCACATAAACCTAGCGTCCCCCTGCTGGGCTTTACCGCAGAATCAGCCTGCCACACCTGCTTAAGGGCTAAATATGAGCTCATGTCATATCTGGGAGGGGGCCAATCGATAGCAGAGCTCTGCAGGGCCGACGCCAAGCTGAGCAGCGATGCGCTGTAATAAGCATGTCCACATTTTCTCAAGCAAGAACAAGAGCTCTGTATTGCCAGCTGATACTCTGAATTAGTGTCTGGATGCCTTCCAAAGCAGCTCTTGTTCATCTCAGGGAATCCACTCTAAGCAGTTGCTATGCCTGTTAAAAGCATGACTGATCCTCCTGTATTAGAAGCTTGTCTTTATGCAATGTTGCATCCAAGAAGCTGTGCACAGGCTTCCACAGCATCCTCACAACAACCTGCTGACGACAGGGAGGCCACAAGCATGAGAGACAGCTGCTCGTCACAGATATTTCACAGGGATGTGTTTACAGAAAAAAGAAGCCTGAGCTCATTTGCTTGCCAGCTCTCTGCGTTGGCCAACAAAATGCCAGATCAGCTAAAGAGCGATTAGCCAGAAGACCGCTGTGTTTGTTTGCAGCGGGAAAGGACAGGCTATCCTCGGGGAGATTATAAAGGAGCCAAAGGTGATCCTATTGACTGAACCAGATAAAACAAATCACACTCTCACTACAGAGAGAAGGTGGTGAGAACAGAGCTGCAGTCCAGTGCCAACGTAGGCCTTTCATAATGAAAAAAGAGGTAACAAACAGCTCATTTGATTGTGTTGCGTTTAAATAATGCATTTATCTTCCTGCAAGTAAAGTGCCTTTGAGTTATAATTCTTACTCCCTCAACCCAGCAACTGTACTGTTGGGGATGGCAGCACGTCCACTAGACTCGCTGTGCATCTGTCACTCTGCGGCAGGGAAATATAATCATGTCTTATTTAAAAGGATATCATATAAATAGGCATGGGAAATATTAATGGATGCAGAAGCCTTTTTAAAAGAGGTATCATCCACAGTCTTTACCACGGATCAGTCAACAAACTGCTAGCCAGTGAGTCTGTCGCTTCTTAAGTGTAGTAAAAACCAGTCAACCGGATAATAAATGGATCATATCGATCTAATGGGGCTCTACCATGAGAGATGGGTACACCACCATGAGCTTTAGTGGTCTCAGATACTAAGCCAACCCGGGGATCTTTGTTGTGTTGTCTGCCTCTCTGAGATAATGGCATAGGCTTTACTTCACATCTAGAGAGACACTCAGTTATTTTGGAACAAGACCAGAGGTGCCATCTGGAACAAAAACGCTGTAGCACAATGGATATGTTGTCAATTGAAACAGTACATTTCAGCGGGCTGAGTGGACCTCCATGATGGATCATCACAGCAGCTGCTTCTATCCACTTTATACAACATAATATATAGTTTGAGTCTTCTCAGAGCACACACTGTTCTTCTCCAGGAGGCGAGGTAGCAGAGTTACAGCACTGACTGCTCAGCACTCCAAATATGAACCTGAGTGGGCGATGCTGCTTTTTGAGTTGAAACAATGTTCCAGGAGACAATTCAATTCTAACTTATGTGTGTAATTATGTGCACAAAGCAGTTTTGGTAAACAAATAAGACAACATATTTAATAATTATCACAACACAACTGAAAGGAGGTTATATGAATGTGGAGATGTCTGTGTTTACACCAAGTATAGAAGAAGAATCCTGCCAATAAAAAAATAGCATTATGCTACTGTGCTGTAACTGATCAATCAGAACCTTTTCCATCCAACTATACACAGAATAAGAGTTTACCTTTTCTCCAACAGAGCCAGGGTTTCCAATGCCACCGGGAGGTCCCTGAGGGCCGTCAGCTCCTGGGGGTCCTGAGGGGCCTCTGGGACCAGGTGGACCGGGTGGACCCTACAAACAAAGAGAGGTTAAGGTCTAATGAGTAAAGACACTTCCCATGCAAACTGTAGGTTATGTGATGTGTTAAATAATTACATTGTCTCTGCTTTATATACACTTACCATTTGACCAACGTCTCCAGTTTCACCTTTCTCACCGGGGGGACCAGGCAAGCCCTGCGGAGTGTGGAGAGAGGGTTTACTTATATTGCCTCACTCAATGTTAACAATGAGCATACATTATATGTTTCATTGCAGTCCACACCTGCAGACCAACTGGACCTGGAGGTCCGGGGAACCCTCTGGATCCTTCATCTCCCTTCTGACCAAACAGACCCTGCTGACCTCTGGGACCGGGCTCTCCATCCGCACCCTGCACAACGAGACGGATGAAAACAGTCAGGAGGTACCAGGGTTGCAGATGCAGTAGTTGAGGCCCTTACTGATCTGAACAACAACTGCAAACTATTGTTGAACAGGAAAGGTAATTATGGTGTATTTTTAAGTTGCATCATTGTCCGACACAAGGGCAATGTTTCTCTTTGGAGCCCTCTGATTTTACTCGCTGCATGCAATATGGGCATATCTTCTCTTTCGTATTTATGATTCAAAGATAAGTGCTCTTGCTGAAAGTGTTCATCTTAATTCAGAGATTAAGAGTGTTTCCAGTTCTCTTAAGTTAAAACAGTAACTAGAGTTGTTTTCCATATACTGTCAATAATGTCACTTATTTACAATTCCATTACTTTTCCTGTTTTGTTATGTTTCTGCCAAGCTATTATATTGAAGTACTTACAGCTGGACCGGGTGCTCCAACAGGTCCTTGAGGGCCGGTGGGACCAGGTGGGCCCTGCAGAGGTGAAGGAACACATTAAAGACACACTCTCCACAACTAGACATGAACTCCAAGTAAAAACAAATCAGACGTAAAATCTCAGGAAGTAAATTGAATAATAAACAATGTATTTACAAGTTCTGGAACAACTTACATGCTCTCCTTTGTCACCCTTGCCTCCTTTCTGGCCGGACTCTCCAAGCTCTCCCTGTGAAATGACATGATCACAGTGTGAAACGAAGACGGATACACTTTACCTAAGGTAATACACAAGTGACAAGAAGATTACAAAAGTGACAATTATGTTGAATTATCATAAAAAAAGCAGAAACAGATAAATAAATAATAACCTACACTCATTATACCCCCTCCTGTTCATCTTTTATTTAGAAATCTGTCTATGGATATTTTAAATACATCTCTGTTTCTCTGACAAATATAGTTCACACCTGAAGGGGTGCTTATCACGATGGCACCACTAGAAGCCAGAACAGAATAGATAATTAGTCCCAGCTAAACCTGGAGTGAAGAACTTTACAGCACTCTTTCAAAGCCTCCACATGCTGTGGGTGTTTGGAGAAGTAATGTTAATATCTGCCAAAGTCAAAGGCATTCACTTTTGGTTTGTGAGTCAGACAATGCTCTCAGTATTAGTCTTAAAACAAAGGCCTTGGAGTTGTCCGTTCCCAGTAGACAGGACTGATAATGAGAAAGTGTGTAAACAGTAGCTCGCAAGATCCTATTTATCTGCATGGCAAACCCCCTCTATCTGTGTCCGTCCGCTCCGTGAGGACTGGTGTAAGGCCAGTTAAGAACTGAAGCATTCTTCAAAGGATAAGAGATTATCCTCTGAGCCTCTCTGGCTCATTTTCCTGCAAATGTTTTTGGAGGGGATAAAGAGTCGTCCTCACTTCTGAATACTAAAGGGTCACTTTCACAAAGGCAGTCATTGCTACAAAATGCCTTCCCTCTCCTCTGTCTTTATTTTGTTTGCAGAGAAGTACAAAGCTGCAACAAGGCAGCATCGCCTTTTTAAAGATCCGCTGATCGATGCAAACCCTGTCAGACAAATTCCCATTAGAGCGTTTAAGGTCACAGCGATGGAGACAAGAAGATACCTGGCTCAGTATCTTTGTAAGGTGGTTAGGGAACACACAAACACACACAGCTTTCTGGATGTTATCATATTTCTCTTGAAGTTGATGGCAAAACAAGTAACCCACCTTGTCTCCGTCCTCTCCGGGGGGTCCAGGAGGTCCTCCAGGGCCGGGCAGACCCACAGGTCCCTGAATACCATCTCTTCCAGCTGGGCCTTGAGGTCCTTTCTCTCCCTAAATATATAAGAGTGTTAAGACATGTTTCATCTGTAAAATGGAACTACTTTCGTTTTCGTAATGTCGAGAACTAATTAGAATAAACTATATTTTCGTCATTTCAGGACCTTTTTATGAATCTGATATGATGATAATACAACTGCTTTTCAACTCATTGCTGAAAAAAACTCATGTTCTTGAACTAAAGTTCCTAATTGAATGCCAAATACTCTGTACTGTAGTTAATTTATACTCGCATTTATGTAAACAAACATACAGGTAAACACTATCCTATATATCACGCTAAGATAAAATGACTAAGTTCATGTCTTAGTATAGTGTTTAATGTGGCCTGTATTTTGCAGCAATCTCTTATGTGAGGCTCTTACGGGTCCTCCTTTCTCTCCGGAAGGCCCCGGGGGTCCCTGGGGTCCGGAACGTCCAGGCAGACCTGTAGGTCCGGCTGGGCCAGCAGGGCCGCGCTCACCAGGAGAACCCTACCAGAAAATATGAAATACATCAGAAAACATCCTAGACAACCAGGAGTCTAAGCATTAGACACGTATAGGTGAGGACTCCATTATGTAAGAAGCTGCATGGTTTGATATTATGTAAGAGCCTGGAACAATTGAGGGTGGGAACTTTGTCATGAAGACAATTCCCAGAGACAGAATATGGAAGGTGAGGGATGAGAGTGACAACGGAGGATGCAGATGCAGTAAATTGTACTCACAGCGGGTCCAGGTGGGCCATGGGGTCCTTCGCTTCCTTTCAGGCCATGAGCCCCCTGCAGAACAAAATCAAGTGAAGGCTTCAGAAAACAAACACATCTGTTGGGGAAGCACACATCCTGCCTCACACTGGACTCCCTATCTTCAAACAGGCTCAGCGTGAGGTGGAAAACCTCCTATAGTCCCCAAAGTGGAGACGAGTTGTTTACTACAACTGCTGCGAACATCTTTTATATTTCACAGGAACAGGTGGGACGCATCATTTCTTCGTCCTACAAATAAAAGGCTGCTCTGGCCATGGATTTCATTCTAACAAGTTGGCTGTAGGAAGATTGTGTGAATTGCATAACAACCAGGACTTTGTTGAGTTAGAATAGATATAACAAATTAAAGAAGTAAACAGCCTGGAGCACACTGTTCCTCTTCTGTAGCCCACTCAGGGATGTGATAGCATGTCTGATTCTTCAAGTTAACCACAGTCTCACAGCGACTTAATAGTCCAGAACTATTATGCAATAACCAAGCTGTGAGAGGTATTGGAACCGTGGGATGCTTTTGTGCTGAGCAGAGGAGAATACTCACCACAGGGCCGGGCAGACCTCTCTCTCCGGGGAAACCTCTGAGTCCAGGAGGGCCATCCTTACCGAGTGGGCCAGCAGGACCGGGGTCACCCTGTGGAGGAGAGCACAATGAATTTAATACTGTATTATGCAGTGTTTGAGTATTATATCAGTTTTATTCATTAAAACTCAAGACATAATGCATCTATGCAAAATGAGAAACCCTGATAAGCTATTTTAAACTTGAGAATAGAGGCCCAGATGATAAACAGGTGGTATTTAAATGTTAATTAAAATGTATTTTAACTAACACGCTGTCCTAATAAAGAAAATGCATTATACAGTCAGAATTAACAACCTACAAAACATCTACAGTGAGACTAACACAAGTTACCCTATCCCCCACTAACACATACTAAATACACCCAAACAATGTATTAATGATGTGATTGTCCGTTCCAAATGACATTACAATTAGTGTAGAAAAAACAAACAGATTGGTTTTGGAACCAATGATAGGTATGATTGGGTGCTGTTTCAGGATTTACCTTGGCTCCTTCCTTTCCTGCAGATCCAGGTAGACCCTGCTCACCAGGTGGGCCTGGGGGTCCAGGATGACCGCGATCTCCCATTGGTCCAGTCTCACCTGTTGGTCCCTATAATAAAAAAATAAAGTTGTAATCAGAGACACTACAGCTTTTAATCCAAGTTAAAGAGGAGGTGTGAAGCAGAGAAACTACAGCTAGAGGAACACTGTGAAAAAAATCAGCAATTCGGTTTAAAAAATATGTTACAATTTCTCCATTTATTACAAAACACGGCGTGGAGAAGCGGAGCATTTGCTGTGTGGGAGGCCTACTTGTCATTAAGGCCACATACAGCTCCGTTATTATCAATGTTCTCAGCTGGCATTAGCAGAGAGGCTGGGAGGGAAAGTCTGTTCAAAGCTACTGAATAATGGATGAAGACCCCGTTGCTAATATGAAAGAGGATAAACAACAATTAAGTTATGTGCAATAAGGACAAATTGTTGTTCTTTTGGTCTGAAAAACTGCTTAAACCTCACTGTTTAAACACTTGCATAAACTCAGAATCTTAGGCTTGCAAAGGAAGGCTACTTATCTGTGCAAGTCTAAAGGGTATTCAGTTGTGAGGTTTAGCAAAAATGCATGTGTTAGGGAAATGCTAACCATGCGACTAAATACATCTGAGTGGAAAAAGCTGCAAGAAAAGTTTGTAAAATGATGTCTTGATATCGTTTTGTGGCTGCTTTTGCATTCTGAGTTCACCGTTTCTTAAAGTTTTCTTAAAGGTCATTTTGTGGGTGAAGTATTTATTTCATTATGATTTATAACGAGTCTCTGAACAGTTGTTTTAACATAAAAACAGATACATATTTGCTATTATACATGCCACCTTACATGTAAGGAAGTAACACAATGGTTAGTGACTGTGACTCACCTGAGGTCCAACCACACCTGGGGGGCCAGGAGGGCCAGTCTTGCCTTGGAATCCCTGTTTATTATAGAAGAGAAACAGAGTTACATCCCATATGTCTGACTCTGGTTGAATACAGATGAAGAGCTGAGTAATAGATTACTTACAGTCTCTCCTCTCTGTCCAGGATGTCCGGGCAGTCCGTCTTTTCCTGCGGGTCCCTGAGAAATACAAACACATATATGAATGTCAATCTAAGAGAGACAAAAGGACAAGGTATGATGGGTTTGTATGCATGGTGGTGTGTGGTGTATGAGTTTGGACTTACAGGAGGGCCCTTTGGTCCTGGGAAACCTGTTGGTCCCTGAGGCCCTGGCAGACCCTGAAACAGACGACAAATGACTCCTGGTCAATAATCAGTTGACTCTTCATGTTATGAGACTAAAGTTACCCTGGATTACAATGGGAAATAGGAAATGGGAAACAACATTCACAGCACGTCTTTATTGATCTAAACATTCAGCTTTAGTCCATATCTGTTGGCGTTCAGACCTTCAAAAACAACATTTATTCTGAGGTGAGAAAACGGTTTCATTTCCTGCAGCCACACACAAAGGGAGGCATGCACCTGTAGGCGTACTAATAGACATTCAAAACTTCATGTTTTCAAGCTCAAAACAGGCTTCAAAACTTTAATAAAACTGACATTCAGTACAGCCCTTTCCCACGGACAGAGACAGGGCTGTGTGTGAATGTCGGCCTGTGAGGAGATATATGCTACATTTTCAATAGTAAAAGTCTTTGGACTAGAAAAACAGACTCCATGTTGAAATGTCCTATTGTCTTAATATCGTCACTTGTAACAATGGAATATTATGAAATGTTTTAAAGGAAGTGTAGTGTGATGAACTTACCCTCTCGCCAAGAGGTCCTGGTGGGCCGTCATTTCCTGAGGTACCCTGAAGAGACAAAATAAAGAGTTAGTGGTGAACTTGTTCTACAGTGTTTGCAAGAAAGAGTCAGAGAAATATTTGACGCACCTTTGGTCCATTCTTTCCTGTTGGTCCCCTTGCTCCTCTCTCTCCTCGAGGCCCCTTGGGAACAAAACAAAGGTGATTAAAATCATAAAAAGGGTCTTATTTGTGACATGAAATTGGTTGTTCACATTTAATGGTCCCTCATTATACTATTTTTCAACAATATATTAAAGGTATATAGATATATACAAAACATTTCTCTGAAGTGTTTGGCTGAAACACCAAACAGATCATTGTAGCATCCCATAATCCCCTCTGTTTCAGCCCTGTTTCAAAAGTGCTTATTCGGTGTCTGTAGCTTTAAATGCTAATGAGCTGCTGCTGGCCACACCCCTCTGAGAAGTGATTGGTTAAAAGAAACACAATGGTGCTCTAGGGAGAGATTCAGGTGGTAAGGTTACCTTGGTTGGTTATTGGCTAAAATACAGCTGTGACATCACAAAGTGGCCAAATCTGATCAGCTCAATTTCAGGTAGGATTTAGATATAAACGGATCAGGACAAAAGAGAGAGAATCTTTTTTCCTGAAACTTGTGTCTCTAAACACACTTGCTACACATATTTATTTATAAAAGACATGAAAAAGTGGATTTTGCGTAATAGGTGACCTTTAAATCTGGGTGGATTTCCCTTAAGCCTGCCCAGGTTGAACTTCCCTTTTCTCTCAGGTGCCAAGCCTGCCATCTGTATACAAGCAGGAGTCTGCTGAGTAAGACTTACCGTTGGTCCCCTCTGTCCGCGTGGGCCAGACTTCCCTGCCAATCCCTGTGGACACGCAGAACACACACAACGATCAAAGGAGTCCCATCATTAGGAGGCTGCATCCTCAAGAAGAATAAATCCAACCCCAGCAGACGGTGAACATTTGCAAACAGATTTCAACAGATTTGTGCAATTTCAGAAGCTCAGATATTATCATTAAGTTTAAAAATTACCGTAGAAATTCATTTCAACTTCAGAAAAGTACATTTTATTCAACCCTAATGCACAATATAATTATTGCAATGACAGCAGCTGCATAAAACTTTAATGAGAAAAACAATGATATCTTTAAAGTTTCAATAAAGTGCTGTGAAAAATATGTTAATGGGACTATTATCCCGTTCTGTCCGGGAGCGCGGTCTCATAAACTTCACAAATGTTTGGTGAAGATGAAAAGCTTTATGTGGCCCACTCCGCTTGTGGGGGCAAACCATTACTCTTGCAGGCAAGCTAATGGCCCATCCCTTAGACAAAGAAAATGAAACATTGCTCAAGCGCCGCAAAGTAATAAACAATGCTTTCTGTGGTTGGAAATGAGTTGTGTAAGTGGTAAAGAAGAAGGAATGCAATTGTCTTTCTGCCCTTGGTAAAAATCTTTATGTTAGAGCATTGCAACTTACTCTGGATTGATAGGTCTGGAGCCGGGACAGGAGCCTGTCTCCAGCCCTACGGCCGTATTGATCCTACCCTTGAGCGAATGAGAAGAATAATAAAAAGCTATTTGACATACCCGAGCTCCTTTCTCTCCGTTGGCTCCTGGGAATCCTTGGAAACCTTGAGATCCCTGAGTGAGAGAAAACAAGTAATTAATACTTTGAGAGACAAACCTTATATATTATATCACTTGTTTATTCCCTGATATATCCCGGATATATTAACTGCAACAGGAGGTGGGGTGCACAATAAATCAGAGCAGTGTTTTATTGATGTCATATCAGGAGCAGAGCGCTGAGAGCAAAAGGCATTTTCAAATCCCTGTGTGTGTTTGATCAGAGAGCTTCAAGCCTGTCAGACTGAAGGATGAGCCGTCAACAGTTCAGCGGAGCAGACACACATGAACACGTATGAATATTTCATTCCCTTTCCGACATTCGGGTATAGTGACACTTTGGCCAATTACATTGTGTCCCTTCTCATTATTGTTTTAAATTACAGTTAACTCATAACGGTGAACTAATGGCAATATCTTTGAGGAATACATGTGTGTAATTACCTTTGGTCCTTGTCTTCCTGGGTATCCGGGGAGTCCGGGAACTCCGAGTTTACCCTGGGAATGAGAAAGAAAAACATGTGATTTTAGATAACTTGAAAAACATTAAGCATTGCTTATTTGATAAGTTGTGGGATTCATTAGAAAGCTCCGTCTCTTTTTCCGTTATTTTATGAAATGGTACAGGGTGCATTATGTCTAATAGTTTATTCTTGTGATGCAAATATGAATTACTAAATGTACTATTACCGGTATATATTTTTATCAAATATTGCTATAATTATAATATTAAATAATGTGTTATATTTGAATTGTCTGTTTTTTTGTACATTTATATTTCTGTGGATATTTCAATTTTTCTTTATTTTTTAATATTTATAAAAACCTTTTTTTATAAGAGTTCTCATTTTTTACAACTTATTTGTACTTTAGTTTATACCAAAACTATTTTCTTATATGTGTAAAACTACTTGGTAATCAACCTGGTTCTGATTCTGAAACTAGAGATATATATGCCTGTATATGACATTTGATATGAATGTGACCTTTTACTTGTAATATTTTTCATTTTCGATGGTTTATCAGTTATGTAAACTCAAACCATCATTAGTAGTATTTCTATTCACTGTTGTTCTGATAAGCCAGCATACTAAATGCAAAGCAAACAGACTGCAATATATTACAAATGCACAGCTTTGACTGTAAGTACAATAGTAGTGTTATCCTATAAACCACATTAAGATAAGAACACCTGCTAACACAGCAGCCTGTATTAGAGCCTGCTCAGTGTTTGAATGTTGCCTGCTGTGCACGCTCCAATCAAATATGCAAATGACTCTGCTGTGAAACTCGTGTTAGATGCAGTGTTAGCCACCATAATGAAAATTCTATTCAGATTAGGAACAAGTACTCTAGGCTTTAAGGACAATAAACACATGATTGTAGTAACTGTTGAACCTTAAAACTTCGGCTAATGACTTTCTGAATCAGATTGTGTAGGAGTTTGTTGGCAGAGTCTCGTAGGTGCTCCACTGTTCAAGCTCATTTTAAGGCTTTAGCAAAAGAAGAGGCTGCACCCTCCAGAGAAAAATTACAATGTATTTATTATTTTACCAAATCTGAGGTATTGTCAGCAATACATACTCAGTGTTCAATTGAACAATAAGAATAAGAGCTCAATCCTTTCTGATCTGTTCAGAAGAGAACGATCAGAATAACTATTCTCCTTGTTTAGCCTTGCTGAGAGATCCTTCTAGATCAAACATGACTGATGATACAAACGACTACGTGTTTTTGATCAGGCAGTGACACATTAAAGCATTGAGACCTGGTTTTGGAAGTCAAACTGAAGACCTTACCTTTTCACCAGATGGGCCGAGAGGACCAGAATCTCCTAAGAGACCTGAGCGACCCTTGGGACCCTCGGGACCGTCCTCTCCTCTGGGTCCTCCTGGGCCGAGCTCTCCCTGGAAATTACAGCAAGTGCAAAAGCAAAATATTACATTTACATGCCTTAAATATTCAATCAGTTTCACCATAATCAGAATAGTTTATTTATCTTGGGGGAATTGCTTTACAGTTGCTCAATTTAAGAATTAAAAAATATAAAAAAGAAATAACAATATACATAAATAAATAGATAGATAAATTAACACATAAATAAGATTAATTAAATGTATTATATTAATTAATAAAAAATATATATAATATATATTTTAAAAATAAATGTTAAAGTAAAGTTATTAAAAATATAAAAAATAGGTATGGTTTAAGTCTAAACACATACTTTAAAATACTTAAATGTTATCTTGTAATATTTGGGATTTTGTATTTATTTATTTTAATATTTAAATCATTGCCTTGACTAGAACCTTTTCTCTATCCTGCCTTTTGCGTGTGCACTGTCAATCAATCATGCTCAGTAACCTTTATTCCAAAAATGAATACATATGGAGACATACTTGTGAAACCTGACTTTTGTGATGTCATTAACAGTATTGTCATTTCATCACATTTGTATTATAAGGGCAACTTTTTATTTGAAAACAAACAAGTCTATCCCAGATATAACCCAGGTCTTTGTTTTAAAACTCCTGGTAGAGTATAGTCGAGGATTGTTCCTTGCTGCCTGCCTCTAAAAGCATTTAGCCACCCTATTATCCTCACTCTATAACCCTGCTCCCCTTATAGCAGGACACCCGCTAAATAACAAAGCACAAACTGGCTCTGACAACCAGTCGCTGCTGCGGAGACCCAGTGCTGTGTGAAAGGTATCCAGTTAATATGGACTAGTATAAAGCCTGGTGGGAAGTTCCACACACACTAGTGCACATAAAACGACATCAAGCAAACTGTACTTGACTCACACTTGTAAGCTCATCAAAGAGAACCCTTTGAATTGAACACACACACTTTTCATAGGCATGTTTTCAAATAAGCCATTTAGATTCTGGTCCATGTGTATCTCCTCCAGAATAGAGTGCCTTCTCAAATCCTTGCTTTCATCTGGATCTGCTACATCTCCAGATTAAAACAGGCTGGAGCCCCGAGTCCCTTTTGCAGGTTTGAAGATTTAGAGTGCCATTGATTTCTCCTTCCTCTCTATGCTCAGTTATAAAGCCTGGTCGGGGATTGTGGGGGTTGATGTTTGAAGTTTGGTCGGAGCCATTCATGTTTCTCACTGTAAGAGACTGTTTCCCGACTACTTGACATTGTAAATCCATAATGCAGTTTGGGGGAGGAAACCGTTCCTATGTACACCTTTCAAATGTGTGCTTTTCTCTAAAAGCTGCCGAGGTGAAGACTTATTTGAAAGAGGTGATAGAAGTGGAATTGGAAACTGCTCACGTAAACACACTGGCTAACAGCTGGCAATGGGAGCAACACCTTATGTTTGCTCATTACCCACAATTCCACAGGAGTCACAGAGGGTTAGGCCGTAAGGGGCTAAAAATCCCATGGGGTGCTTTCACTCAGGTAAAGGTGGCCCCAAACAAAACTAAACCCAGGAAACAACGTAGAGTGCTGAAGTTACATTAGTGTCATTCATCTGATGTAGCAATACACCAATTTTTACTTGAAGTAAATGTTAAAAGGCCCCTATTTGCTCATTTTCAGGTTGATATTTGTATGTTATGCCTCTAATTTTGTCTGCTTTGATTAGTTAGCTTGCCAGCTCTGTTGTGATTGGTCAACCGCTTAGAGATGTCCCGCCCCTTAGCCTATCATTTACAATGCGTTGCAGCGCTAGCCAATAGAAGCAAGATTTACATAACGATGACACTATATTATGGAAGTAATCAAAGGAGCCCAATGAAGAGAAAACTCACTGGGATTTTAGCCTTTGCAGACCATTAACATGCACAAAAACCTATATAACTAGAAGAAAGGGAAAACCACCAAAAGGCATGATAGGGCCCCTTTAAAATGACACTATACAAAACACCTCACAAGTTTTCATTATGCAATCCTCCCTGCCTCTATGTAGCCAGCAACCTTTCACAATAAAAGCCCTGGATAAGTATATAACATCCACGTTGACGTAGGAATAAAGAAGATTTTTTTTTAATCCTATTTACTTGTACAGTAGTAACAGGTTTAAAAACATGCAGCCTATTAATACTGCCATGTGTTTTATGCTACCATTATCATATTACTTAGACATGGGTTTTCATGATTGTTTCTTAATTTGCATGGTCCACAAACTAGTAGATCGATCTACCGTACTTGTTTACATAGAAATCAACAGACAGCAAATATGTCATCAACGCCTCTGTTTGTAGTTTGCTTCAGCACTAATGCAGTGTGTTCTGTGTGGTCTGTAGCTAGAGGACAACAGAAAGCAATCTGATTGTCTTTGCAGTAGCGGCAACAACACAAACACCACTTGGTAACACTAGAACTGCCACTTTGATTCATTTGAATGATGCTTCCAACGCTCTAGAAGTGATTGACAGATACTGCTGAGTACATTACAAACAAGGAAGCCTTACCCTGTCGCCCTTGATTCCCAAATCTCCCTTGAAGCCGGGGAATCCATCTTCTCCCTGGGTAAGAGAATGGAAGAGACGAATGGGTTAGGATGTAATAAAGGGATGGGATATAATGGGATAACACAGGTGTTTCAACCATTTGTGTGAATATGCAGACACACACTCAAAGACAAGCACACCAACACAGATGCAGAGTCTTGGCAAGATCCCCTGTTGCCATAGAAACCGTATATATCCTTTCTTTTCTTCTGTACCAGCAATAGTTACACAGGATTTCATTGAGATTACCATTAGTATGAAACACTCCATGCAAGACTCACTACAAATGTATTATTCAAACATTTCTCTGACATCACTGGTCTATTTCTTTCACACAGACACGTTCCAAGACGTAAAGCCAATAGGTCTGAGCTCTCTCACCTTTCCACCCTTGTGTCCTTTCAGACCGCGGACACCGTCGGCTCCCTGTGATGCAAGAACAGAAAGATGTTACAGGTGGGAAAGGTGCATGTTAGACAAAATGCAAGGGTTCAATTGATTCAGGCTGCCATTGGGAATGAAAATGAGTTCTTAAGTTCTTGCCTGGTTACAGTAATGTTAAGGAAATACAATGGAGACTAGCATTTAGTCCCACCATGAGCGAGGAAGATATTCACCAATGTGATGTTAACAGTTATTCTTTCTGAATCACAGCTGCTAAGTGATTGAAGTCTGACGGAAAGGATCTTTTTTTCTCTTTAATGTGTCGAACAAGGGTGCTATGAAGGGGGATATTATGTAATTGATGCATTGAGATGTGTTTTATGCATTACAAATACTCACTACTTTTCTTGACCCTTCATCTTATCTTCCCAGACACTTCAGACATCAGCCATGTAACTGTGGGACCTTTAGCTAAAAGTCAAGCCACTCTTGTGATCCCCTCTCTCAGCGGAGGAATAAATGACTGGATCAGTCCAAGCCAAGATTTTATTTGATGGGATTTCTTTTGTCTTGGTTTTATCAGGCAGCTACTGATGAAGGGACGAGGGCCTTGAGCCGCCATCAGCCCTGTGACTAACCCTAGCAGCACCTTGTGCAAGCAAAGGGATGCAAGATCTGAAAAGATGACTTTCAAGTCTTATCCTTTGCATTATCACGACCTGTTTGACAAAAGCAGAGGCCATTCTATTCTAGACATCTAGACAGGAAGTTAATCAGTAAACTAGGGCTTTTAATTTTTTAGCAGCTTTCTACAAAATCACACTAAATTGTTGGACAACCTCGGAAGTTATAAAGTTCTGTATTTCTCAGAAAGGTTTCTATAAGATAATGGGCAACATTAGACCCATAACAGTTGTTAATTGCCAGGCAGAATGACCTGATGATAATTACAAATGATTTTATTAGTGGTTGAAATTCATCTCACCTTCACACCTCGGGGCCCGGGATAACCAAGGGGTCCTTGAGGGCCAGCAGGGCCCTGCGGAGAGAGGGGGTTAGAAAGAGCTTGTAGCAAACATGCGCATGCAGTACACACATTAAGTTATCAACATTAATGCTGAATGTTTCATGTAAATGATTCTACAATAGGATAATAGAAGGGGAAATAAAGTAAAAAAACATTAACAAAATAACCAATGCAAGCTACTAAAGAAAATCACTTACCAAGTGTCCTTTCTCTCCGTTAGGCCCTTCCTTTCCAGGGTGACCCTGTGAATGATTTACAAAGCACATTATTGCATCTCATAATTAGATAATTACCACCATAAATACTACAACACATTAGTTATCACTATAAAAGAAGGGTAACGTTGTAAAACTTTGCAGGATGTATGGAACTGAAAAAAGACTTTGTTGGGAAGTGTCATTAGCACTACCGGTTATTACTGGGCACTAAAAGCCAACAATTGCCGTTTTGGGATTTCAAATAATAGGAAGCACATACAGTACACTCATGTTTGGATGTCCGGTAAAAAGAAGAAGAGGAAAAATTGAAGGAAATTGGTTTTATTCACACGAGACAGAAAGGCTCTGCAAAGCCTCAGAAGGGTTTTTAGTGACGTTATAGAGGGCGGGGGAAGGGATACAAGAGAGGACATAAAGAAGGGGCATGGAGGGAGCATTGAAACTGAGTGAAAGAATACTGCGGTTGATTCAAGATGCAACAAATGGAGGAATACAAAAAGATGAGTGTGTAAATGGCCGAGCTATTTCCACTCCAAAAAGACTCTGAAAGCCATTAAAGGGCCGGGGGACATTGTAAAGGGTCTGCAGTCCAACATCTCTTCTCACTCTCCTTCACCAAATCCCTATCTATTTTTCTTTAGTTATTCACATTTCACAGCCTCTCTTTTTGCTGCCACCGAATGCCTTTGAGACACACCTGCCATTAGTGCAGGTGTGTCTGTGCTGCCTGAGCAAAGATGGGAAGAGAGTGATTGAGGGCGGGTTGTATCACACACGTCTAAGAAAAATCCATATCTCAGTGTGTTTTGAGAGCTTTTTAAACATGTTCTGCTTTGAAAGCGTTGATTCCTACAGTTATGGCAAATGTAAATGTTAAAAAAAGGCAGAGATGTTTGGACTCACCGGTGGGCCGTCAGCTCCTGGCATTCCTGGCAAGCCTGGTTTCCCGAAAGGTCCCTAATAAGAAGACAGGAGAAACCTTTAGGGCAGTAAGACACCACAGAGTAACACAACACCAAGAAATCAAAAGGTTAGAGGCATTATAAACGTCTGAAAAGAACCAGACTGAGTTCCACAGTCAAGCAGCTCTGTGAGGCTGTATTAGAGTGTTGTAGTGAGCTAAATGCTAATGTCAACATGCTAACACAATGATTACTTCATAAACAACCCTTTATTCAATTATAGTTTTGTCTCATCAAATACTACCGCCTTCCAGTATTTCATTTATAATCAGAAAAGACCTACATTATTCATTTACAAAGTCCAACAGCTCAATAATAAACGGAAAGCCCTCCACATAAACAGGCAAATATTATTTAGCTGAAATTGGATAAAAAATATATCAGGATTAAAAATCTGTGTGCGCTGTCAACTCGGCACTATTTGGTCCTACATTGGGGATGGGGGGGGGGGGATGCATTTGCATAATATTGTGATAAGCATTTTGGAACTGAATAACTTGGCATTCAGCTCCATGTAAATGAATGACACCAATTCATGCAATTTTGTAGATTTGGATGCTGTGTTTATTGACATTTTATCCAGCTGGCAGTCAATATTCCGCTGCAGAAATGGCATGTTACACAAAATGTGATTGTTCTATAGTGATTACGTCATACGGTATCTTACCTTGTCTCCTGGGGGTCCGATGGCTCCTTGGGGCCCTGCAAGACCCTGTGGAGAGGACACAAAGTGCTCAGAACATTTGATGTTATGAATAAGAGAAAACTCAAGTGGCAAACAACCTGTTCGTCACTAACCATGGTTCCTGGGTTTCCTTGCTGTCCAGAAGGTCCTGGTTCTCCTTGAGGTCCCTGAAGAAAACAACGGTTATTTTAGAAATCTCATTACAAACACAAAGATTGATTCATTTATTTGTTCTCCCATGTGACGGTAAGAGTGATTTGTTGCTCCATATGGTTAATTAAAAGGGAAATGCTGCTTTCGGCTGATATAAATCAGAAGCTGTCCAGCAGTGCATCAGAGCATTATTACCCTCTTATACCTAAACAGCAGCTCACACCTGCATTCCCAAATGACAGACACTGCTGAACACAAACACACACAGACAAATGCCCTCTCAGATAAATGGCAATCAATTATGTTAGGTCCGGGAAAGCTGTGGATGCTCCATCTCCAGCTAGTTGGAGCATTCCCAGAACAGACGAGCTGCTCCGCCTGGTGCTCTCTCATTAAGTCTGCCGCTAAAATAAATTGACCCGGGATAATACAAGTGGTCGGGGTGGACTGCTCAAATGGATCCAAACACACCCGGCCTATTCTTCATTATCTGCTGAGTATCCTCTGATTGCACTGGTGTAGGCGGGTGTGTGTGAGTTAGTGAGAACGAAAGAGAAAAACAACAATCATTTCCGAACGTGTTTGTATAGAGGCATGTTGTAATTCGCCTTATTTGTATATGTATGTCAATACGTAAGTGTATTTGGAATAAAGAGAGAGAGGGGAACCAATAATGGGGATTTAAGGATAAAAAAAGGGAAATATGTAAGATGTTGTAAAGAAGTGAGAGTATTATTTAAATAAAAAAAAGGAGGATAGAACTAAAAAGATGTGTGTAATGATGCATTGAGAATATTTGATATTTGGGGTATGTGTGTAAGGTAAAGTGATCTCTGTTTAATTGCTATTGTAAGAATGTGTTGTTGATTATCAGAATGATATCATGAATTACAAATACTTTCATGACATGAGCTTTTCAAGTCATTTCATGCCTAATCGTGTGTGTGTTGTGTTTTGTGGTTTTACCTGGGAAATAGAGAATGCCTGACACTAAATATTTGCAATCGATTTAATTTCACTTACGATGTTTCCTTTGGGTCCAGGTTGTCCATCCATTCCAGTAACACCCTGCAGCAGAGGAGAGGAAAACGCCATTCAGTCAAATATATGGGAAGGCCAGAATATTAGTTTTATACAGAATAGGTTTGTATTTCGGTGCACTTTCAGCTGATAAAACGTACTTTTAGTCAGAAAAACCCCCAATGCAAGCTCCAAATATTAAAAAAACACAGTAGATTTGCTTTTGCACTCTATGAATTTGAGAGTAAACTTTTAAATGTTAGATTTCTGCATCCTGCGCAGGCATATCACTTCCAATAAGCTACTTGATTGATGTGCACTGTCCATGCTAGATTAAATCAGTTGAGACGATATAAACATTAGGTTTGCTCCGCTGTACACATTTGTCTGATATGCCGGAGTTAAACTCAATAACAGATTCTGCTCTTTGTGTTCGCTGTCTGAAATATATTGAGTTTTGTATTTCCCTGTGGGTGTTTGCAGTGTCTTTTGTTCTATAAGATGGTCAAATAATATATATTCTGCTTTCTCAACACTATTGTAATAGCACGAATGTGAAAAGGGTACGGGGACTCACAGGGGGTCCAGAGGGTCCCTGAGGTCCTTTTGGTCCGAGCAAGCCGCGGGGCCCCTAGGAGAAAAACAAGGAAGGAAATGAGATTAAGAATATCACACCTGTGAAGGAACTCATGAATTATTAAGCACGCTAAGCTAAATCAAGTTTCAAAATCATACTGCGGGAAACAACCTGACTTCGCAAATGTCCTTGAGGATATTTTACCTCGTCAGATTGTGAGGGATGCTGAAAGCTTTTTTTTTTTTTTACTTTACTACACATGTATTCCCCACAGCTCTCCTATCAAACATTGGATTTATGTTCTTTGCCTCCCAGCTACAGTTACCTAACAAGACCTATTTTCCTGTCAGTGTGAATTCAAACAAATGTAGCACACCCTGGTGGACGAAGTAAGTCATAGCAGCAGATATCAGGGGGCTTTCTGGTGTTTTCTCCTTCCTCTCCCTCCATGGGGAATATCCTGAGAGTGTGGGAGGCTATTATAACAAGCTTGATGTGAGCTGCTTGCTTTTCACACCTCCAAAGCCTCATCTACACTTTGCATCCATATCAAGCTAAAGAAAATCTCCATTTATATGAATATGAACAACGGTTGCAGTCCGCAGATGACAGATGACATCATTATGTCGTTTGACTGTTCGCTAACACAATGACATGATGAGAGCGGGCCCTCTCAGCTCTATCACGCTGTCTCTCAGTAATATGCGCGATCACTCACTGATTCGCCAGGAAGTCCCCGGGGCCCGATCTCTCCATCATCTCCCTGGGAAAGAGAGAGGAGCGGGTCAGAACGTGGAACAGACACTGAATGACAATGGAAATAAAGTGAGGGTGTGTGTGTTACGAGGAGGGAAAGATAATGGGAAGTTACAAGGAGAAAAGGCGGGAAAGAAGGGGATTATGTTGCTTCAGCCGGGGATAAGAGAGACACAAATATATATGAAAGTAAAAGATTTAGTGATAAAAGATGTGGGAAATTGTAATTTTTTTTTGTCTTACCCTTTCTCCATCCTCTCCAGGACCACCATGAGGTCCAGAGGGTCCAGATTCACCCTACAACAACAAACACTTAGATGTAACAGTGGCACATGTCGAAACAAATACACACACACATGTGCACTTCTTCCAAAAAAACACACTTTAATAGCACCACAAAAGAACTTACTCTGTGTCCTTTTTCACCAGGAAGTCCGGAAAGACCATCAAAGCCTCGGTCTCCCTGAAGAGCAAAGACAAGTCAGGTGCCATACGTCTTGTACAGGCTTCAAAAACACACTTTCAAACTGGCGTCAGGAGATACTGAAGTGTCGGCGACACAGTACCTTGGTTCCAGACTGTCCCGGCATGCCCCTGGCACCGTCGGCTCCAGAACGACCCTGTGAAAAGAACAACGGTTACAAAACTGCTCTGTTGAAAGAGGGTGAGGACTAGAATATGCCTTTTGAATCGGCACGACAAAATGTGCATTAGATATTCATATGCTGCATGCTTTTCTACTTCAGCTCACCCTTCTGCCAGGCTTTCCAGAGGGTCCAGAGGATCCCAAGGGTCCACGTGGTCCCTGAAACAAACACATGTATTTATAACTCAGAAGTGTTCAAAGGTAAGGACTGTCACAATATCAGACTTTGATTGCACGATACTGATGGCAAAAAACTTTAAGAAGAAATTCAAATATAGCATTATCTTTAGAAATTGTTTGATAAAAAGATCCAATTACTCTTCAATTTTGTTTATTATGTGTTTTGTCTCCAACATTTTAAAAGGTGCAATTACACAATATTATATACGTGTATTATTAAATGGGTATTTTAAGTATTAAAGCCGATATGTTTCCCAATTTGGGATCAAATCTTATCTTATCTTACACCCTTAAACCCATGCTTAGAAATATCAAAGTTAAAAAAATAAAAGTTGCATTTGTATCTGTTTAGAACTAATGCCATACCACAACAGTTTAAAAATGTGTTTAGGTTGACATGTTTTTGCATTTTTACATCTCATACCTGAGGACCTGAGTCTCCAGACTCTCCCTTCATGCCTGAGTCCCCGGGAGGACCCTGTGGAGAAAAGCAATAGACGATTGAATTGATATTAAACTCACACAAGTTTTCAACACTACAAAGCTACAAACTGTTGATTACTATTCATGATTTTGAGTCTGAGTTTGTCTCTGAAACACGTACCAGAGGGCCGGACCTGCCAGTCAAACCCATGGGACCTGTAGGGCCGCGCATAGCCAGCTGAACACAGAGAGGAAAACAATGAGATACAAAATATATAAAAGGAATAAATAAAGGATAACAGAAGGAAAGCTGCAGTGTATCTATTTGTAACGTGCAGTTACTCATTTGCATGTGAGTGGGTGTGCTGTAGTTATATTTGTGTCTGTCCCTTGTGAACAATGTTGTATAAATGATGCATGCTTGTAAGCAACCACAGAGTATAAAATATATCAATGACATAACAAACTTGATAATAATGAAGGGGTAGCAAGGATTTATGCCATAACTATAGAAACAAAAATAAATATGGCTAGAAAAAACATTATAAAATTCACAAACAACATGAAAAGTAAGACATATTTCAACAGGAGAAGCAAGATTGGTGAATATACAATTTAGCATTGATATATTATGTGTAAACAGTTACCCTAGCCTGCTGCATGATGGCTTGCATCTGGGACTCCTGTGCTGACACAGCAGGGCCCTTCTGTCCGGAGTCACCACCAGAACTCATTCTGAACTATGGAGGGAAACAAAGATTTGTTAGAATTTGTTGCATTCAAAATATGAACCAGCAAAACAAAAGTAAAAGCTGGTGAAAATAAGAAACAATGCAACAATATAACAATTTGATTTGTATTCCCAAAAACAACACTTTTCTTTGTCCCCATCTTAAAACCATGCAACAGATGTGAAAGTGAGCATTAGCCTCCAGCTGTCAAACCAGCACCAATAAAGGCCACAAGCTTCGAATTATGCTGGCATCTGGTGGTGAAACGACGCCATTGCACCATAGTTGAATATCCAGGTTTATGGTCCAATAATGGTTCGCTTGGGAAAGGCATCTCGTGCTGGGTTACACAGCAGAGTACGGAGGCTGTTAGTTTGCAGACGCACAGCAACACAACAGTGAATCTGTGCAGAAACACGGCAACCAATAAGCAAGTAGAAACAGTTATTCAAAACAGCGCTCAGTCAGATGTACTGCAGCTCAGCCATCATGAACCAAATGTCTTCAGTTACTTTTCAAGTATTGAGCAAAGCCCACAGTTTATTGCTTTCTGTCAACATTTCTGCTGAGTTTGATTAAATATTGGCCCTTTCCTTCGCTATCTCAGTCACAATCAAATATATGCAGCTCTTTTCCTGCCTTCCAATCTGTGAGCATGTCTTATATTATTTTTCTCTTCAGCTTTTTTTTATCATTCCCCAACTAATTTGCATTTCTTTTCCCCCGACATTCCTTTGCATCTTTGAGCCTTGAACAAAATGTTCTGCTACATCAAATTGTTGACTAGTGCGGCCAGGGATAGAGAAAAACACTCCGATTGGAACCAAGTTATGTTTTTCACACAACACCACCTCATGCTGGAGCGGACTATCAACAGGAAAATAAAGAGAAGATGCATCACTATATTATGGATTGTTTAAGCAAGAACATATGATTTGAACACAGAGCCAAAAAGTTCTCTGGTGAGAAGAGGGTGAAACAACAATGCATGTTTCCCATTAGACTCGGGGCTCAGGGATCAGGTTACAAGCTCTCTGCCAGTGGATACACCAGAACCAGTTCCTGTCCAGACAGAGCTCCCTCGGCTCTGAAGACCCCTGAAACCACAGCCTCACATCTGTACGACTCATCAGATCCAACAGCAGCAGCAGCATCACACATCGTCCAAATACAAGGAAAACAACGGGGGAAAGGTAGACAGCGCAGGAAGTTGTAAGCAGGATAAGTGTTGCGGTCGAATCATAGCACGCAGCTGAAGCTACAGAGAGAAGCGACAGCGTGACTTTGCTTCCTGTCTGTATCCACACAACTTAATGGAAGGACATCTTCAATTCTTAAATAAGTTCAAACTAAATTAAGTCCTTTCATTTTTGCTGTAAGTTGATAGTGTTTATTTCACAGATGTCTATCTGTCAGGTTCAACTTGTATATATTTTACTCTTAAGCTCTGTTTTATTTTCTGTTTGAGATGTTTCTATTTTATGTTTGTTTATTTTTCTACTTTTTTATTTGCAATGCCTTGTTTTAACATCTTGCTGTTCCAAAAAAAATCCCAATTTGGGATCAATAAAGTATATCTTATCTCAATATGCAGATTCAAGTTTATTAGGTCAAAACATCTGAACGTGATCACTCCAGATGATGGGAGGGGCGACATCTGTTACTCAACCTGCCACTAGGGGCTGCTAAAGCACAGATTGCATTACAAAATATTTGTAAGGGCCAGGCTAATCAAAGACGGTTTCGAAGGAAACCCCCTTCATTCCTCTGCACTGTGTAAACTACATGTCAGGGTTATTGATAAAACAGAGAATGATACATCACACTTGGCTTTGAACACGGCTGAACGACTCCATAAAGCCACATGGTGAATGCTTTAAAGTGGGGGAGAACATGAAAGCGCACATCACTTCCTCTTCCTCCATGGTTATCTACTTACAGGCAGCATAAGGACGGTACCAGGGGGTCCGGGCAGACCATCAGCACCGGAAAGACCAGCACGACCAGGAGGACCCTTTGTCGGAAAAATGACACAAACATGAGTTCAAGCACTAAGACAGAAATATGGTTAGTTTCTGTATTGTAGAGCTTTATTTAACACACCCTCTCTCCAGAATCTCCAGAACTGCCTGGTTGGCCAGAAGAACCTGGGGGCCCGGGGAGGCCCTATGTCAAGAAAAAAAAACGAATTTCACACACATCATATACATAATGCATCACAAAAGAACAGGGATGTTTGCTGCACTAAAAGTCCTCCCCTTTATCTGGCAAAGTGGTCACACATGGGGAAAGGAATGCATGAGGCAATATGGGACAGCTTGTGGAGTTGTAAATTCTTCGTGAGGAGCTCTTTATTTGTCTTAAGCTTCGCACTTGAATGGCTGGACTCCGTGGGACTCCATCTGCAGGGTGTCAAGAGCAACTGTGTCTGTAAAAACGGTCCTGGATAAATAATTGAGTTCTTCCACATCTGGGCAAGTCCACTTCTCTTCAGGGGACTTGTGTTGGCCACTCCCTTTGCATTACATCAGACAGCCAGGATCTTCACAGCAAAGCATGAACACTTGCATTTTAGAAGAACGGATTGTGTAAGAACATATTGGTAAACTGGAGTATTAGAATGTTTATGTGATTTGTTGGATTCACAAAAACATTGCATTCATTTGATATTAATAGTAACACATATATTATATGTATCGTTGTAATGCTGTCTGTTTACATGGTTAATTTACGGTACTCAATTCTTTGCCTTTGATTCCTTCAAGACATTTTTCTCACTCATTTTATTTACATTATTTAGTGCTATAATGTTGGATTCAAGGCGCTCTGATTAATGCAAATGCAATCCCACAGATTTAATAAATATAAATAATAAATTAGATTGTATGCATATTATGGTGTTTTCTTTATTCTATGATAGTTTCATACAATACATGTCCTTGCTTATAGTTTTGCAATGTATTTAATTGGTTACTTGGTTACCCCTGTGTCATGAAATGTACTGTGCCAGATTATTGCCAATCCACAATGTCAGATACATTTATAAACAGAGATTACACAGACAAATGACATGATGAGGACAGGAATAGAAGATGAGAGGAAGTAAAGGAGAGACAGGTTGACTTACTGTTGGCCCTTCAGGCCCAGACGGGCCCTCCACCAACATTCCCTGAAACACAAGCAGAGAAATCATTAGTCAAGAGTCCCCGCAACAATCTCCTGTGTGTGCAGCGATCTGCAGGTGCACACACAGGCGTAATTCTGACTTCATTAACACAAAGCTGTGCTTAAACTCTACATGAATGCATGTCCCAACACCTTCCTATCAACGTTCTATGTCTGGAGTCAACCTTGATGCACATTCCTGCCTGTCATTTCAGTTATGCTTTCCATTAATCCATGGACTTAGGGAGGGTGAGCGACTGCACAGCATCGGAGGCAAAGACACCCTAAGGTTCTGTCCAACGTGTTCAAGCTGAAGGAAGGACTAGTGAAGAAGGCTTCATTTGTTTTCACATAATCTGATGAAATATTTGATCTTACATGCAAATGAAAGCCTGCTTGTACATGTGTCTATGCTTTGAATTCACTCATTAAAGATGGTATTTTTGCCATATATCCCCTTAGCTAAACAAGCAAATCCTCATCATCGAGTCAGAGCAGGCGATGAATGGATGGTACGAACACACTAACTGGGACTATAGCAACATTTAATATTGTTGATAAAAAAAGATGAGATGAAAATTAATGAAACTAATTAAAAGGAAATCCCCAAAATATCTTTCTTTTGATGCAGTAGTTTGGTGATGCATACACATTTTGGTTAGATCAGAATCTGATATCTAATTTAATAAAACTAGAATAGAATAGTTACAGCTATTTTTGACTAAGAGAAGAATTCAATTTGACACAAGCATACATTAAATATAAAAGAATCTGAAAAACGAACATTAGTGTGGACAACCATAGAGCATCTGACTCACAGATGCATTGTTGCGGCTGTGTGGCTGCAGAGAAATTGTTTGTGTGTTTGCTTTTGTGGCAATATTTTGGCTTCCTGTTTATTTTTACAGAAGAGAGAAACCCACACACTATCCAAATGTATTCCACTGTGTGATGTTTTTCATTAACCCCCAGGCTGAACTGTAGAATTTTCATCCCAAAATTACTGCAATTGATCTTCGACAATCCTCAGGTTATGGCTATGTCTCACCTGCAGTCAGTGTGTGTGTGTGTGTGTGTGTGTGTGTGTGTGTGTGTGTGTGTGTGTGTGTGTGTTGTGTGTGTGTGTGTGTGCTAGAGCTTGGGGGAAAATGTGAATGCATGTTTACAAGAGGAGAGACACACTGGGTGGTGATGTGTACACACTCAGCCACAGAGGGATGTACACTGAGTGGAGCTCAGTGACCTTTGTTTAAAGAGAAACAGCTGTAGCTTTATAAGAGACATACATTCCTTCTTATGGACCTAGCTAACAGACCGAAGGATGTTTTTACATATAGCATTACTATCTAAATCAGGGTTGGATGTGTTCCACCTGTTTCATTCAAACTAAGCTTATGTCTTTGGCAGAGACGCAGGAAAGGTCTTTCTAACTCCCCTTTGTTCAGCTTGTATTCCTTCCCTCCCTTTGCTCCCCCCTTGTATACAAACTTCCCAGATTCTGTTAGGAGATTATTGACAATCCCTACATGACCGTTCTGCTGGTCATCTGAACCCCAGCATAAACATTTGGAGGAGCGATGCCTTGCCCGAGGACACTACGAGAAAGGCTTGGCCCTGATTAATGTTTGGCCTCAGGATCCTCCGTCAGAAGTGATGGGAGGGTTGTGTTTGGATGAGGATCATACATACGTACTGGCAAATATAAACATCCACGCATACGCCCATGTGCACACAATCACAGGCAGCCTACATCTGCTGCTCAAGTAAGTTGTTCAAATAGTGATACTCACAGGCTCAATAACAGCAGGCTCTCCCTTCTGTCCCTTCTCGCCACGGGCTCCGTGGACCTACACACCAAACACGCACACACACACACACACACACACACACACACACACACACACACACACACACACACACACACACACACACACACACACACACACACATGATCAGCAAAGGCCTCTTCAACACCCTCACCATGATCTCCTGCTCCTCTTCTAGATCAGGGAAACTCAACTTGTGAGGAAATGACTGGAAGCCAGGGCCAGTGAATAAACAAACATTCATTATATGTATCAGATTACATTAATTAACATTAAAAAGGTCAGTAACTTGTCATAAAATATCCATTGTTTCAAGACACAGGCGTGTTTATGCAATCTGAAGGACATCTGAGTAAAGACCTCTTACTCAGAAATATTTATTGAGATTTTTGATAAATATTAACTAGTAATTTATATATAATGAGTTGGTAAAGGCAGATAATAGAACAGCTAGAATTGTCTGATTTAAGAAAACACCTTACGCCTAGAACGATATATATGTTCATATAACATCACAGTACCTATATTTTATCGATTTATTGCCCAGCCCAAATTGAGTGTACCAAAAACAATTCTTATCGTGAATCTTTTTTTTTCATTTTGAATAAGAAGATGGCCCTAAATTGAGTACCACTTAGTCAGTATTCTTCACCTGTCCATAATCTGTCCCGGTCTCAGCAGGCAGCACTTTTCCCCCGTCGTCATAGTCGAGGTCATCGTAGGTGCCGTACGAGTCTAAATCGCTGTATTCGCTGAGGTGCTCCTCCTTGAACCCATCCAGGTCTGTGTAGTCTCCCTCTCCTTCAACACCCAGGCCTGTTCCCGTGGCGATGGAGCCCCCTGCTCCGGTGCCGGCGCTGGCTGATCCCCCTCCGGTGGTGGAAGATCCCCCCGCAGAGGAAGACCCGCCCCCGATAGTCATGGTAGAACTGCTGCTGCCTCCTCCACCTCCTCCACCTGCACTGACATGGTCTGAACTGCTGCTGCTGCTTCCACCTCCTCCACCTGCACTGACATGGTCTGAACTGCTGCTGCTGCTGCTGCTGCTGCTTCCACCTCCACCTCCAACGTGGACTGAACTGCTGCTGCTGCCTCCACCTCCACTGACATGGACGGTACTGGTGGTGTCACCTTCTGCACCAAGGCTATAAGCGTCGTCGGTGCCATAATCATACTCATCACCATAGTCACCAACGGAAGTTACAACCTATAAAAACACAGATGTTGTTAGTAAAATGTCCCATATTTGAAGTATGGGTAACATCCTGTGTATACAAATGACATAACAAAATCAAAAACATTGATTACATTTCTGACCTATTAAAACAAATATGTAGCGTACTGCGCAAATTATTTCCAGAATCTATAACAGTATTTGTATAATTTGTGCATTAAAATGTCAGAAAATACTGAAAAATGCTGTATCTCAAGTCATGGGTGCTTTCTTTAAATGTGAAGTTTTCCAATAATTTATGTCCTAAACTCAGGACATATACAAGTCATGTTTAAGAGATGGAACTAAAAATCTAAATAGTATAGTAGTACTAGCAGCAGTATGTCATTCCAGTAATTGTTTTATCATTACTGTGTACAATTTGTTCTCAAAACTGCAACGATTGAGATTTCTTTAAAGACATGTTTTTCTTTTCTTAGTGATGGCAATGCTAGAAACATCCACATTGGTTTTGCTTCCCCCATTTGGGTTGACTGATGATAACATGAGGGAGGGGGCCCAAAGAAAACCCTGCTTACGTATCAAACTCATCATTTCAGGTAGGATTTGCATAAGTAACAAAATAAATAATAGGATTTGAAAGCTTATCAGTACATCTAATGGACCTACAAGTCATACATTAACAACGATAAAGTGAGGCTGTCAGTGTAGGTAATCAACGTACTGATGTCTTATTGGCGGTCATGGTGATTGAAGATCCTTCTCCACCGGTGACCCGCCTTTCGACGCTGGAGGCTGAACTCAAGTCAATCTTTCCCCCTGCCTCCAGGTCCACCTCGCCCCCAGTGCCGATGCTGCTGCTGGTGATGGTGACCCGTCGGGAGGAGTCTGTATCTGGGGCTGCCGTGGCCTCGTCATAGTAGGTCTCGTAGTTACCGTAGCCATCGTAACTTTCGTAAGGGGCGGCCTCCTCTCCGTAGGCTTCTCCTCCGGCAGTGGCAGTTCCTGTGGAGCTGGATGAAGAGCTGGATGAAGAACCAGCAGATGAGCCAGCGGATGAGCCAGCTGATGAGCCAGCGGATGAACCAGCTGATGAGCCAGCTGATGAGCCAGCTGATGAGCTGCTGGTGATGGAGGTCACTTTGCCGCCGATGGCACCAGAAACCCTCTTAGCCTCCTCCACTTCAGAAACCACGCTGTCTTCATCTGCCACCTGTAAGTCATCAACATGGTTACTTTGGAGCATTTGAAGGAGGACTGTACCCAATACTAGGAGTTCCAAGCTTCACATTTTTTTTTCACCTGACTCTTTATCGTTTTAAAAGATGGTAATTCACAGTTACAGATGAATATAAGGCTAATTCAATTGATTAAGTATTATACTATTAGAATAATTGGATTCCAGCTGTGGCTGCATGGGACTGTTTCAGACTTGTGATACAAAACAATTGACATCAATCCATATGTGTTGCCATTTAGCATTTCAAAAGAAAAACAAGTTTCAAGCTTGCCTCACACAACTGAGTCAAGCAGCTGTATTAACAGGACACACATTCCTTTAACCTAAATAACAAGAGAAAACAAAAAAATCCCTTTATTTAGGGTTGTGACAAATAATCACTTTTGAAAACCTCCATACTGTATACGCCTTGAATGTGATAAAAGATAACATGCAGAACAAAATGTGAAACAATACGACTGTATTGGCGTTAACACATGAAGTCAATATTGGCAATGATATGATGGTAGCCCACCTTGACTTCTTTTGTCATCTCAGCATCAGATGTTGATTCAAGAGGCTTTCCCTCGGTGTCCTCATAGTAAGGGTACTCGTAATAGTAGCTGTCCTCCTCTGTGTTCTGAAAGATAGAAAAATTACAAGATAAATAACAATAATTATTCATATCAAACACTTGATTATTAGTATCTATGAGATACTTAGCATAGCATCTACTCTCTAAGGCAACATACATTTTAAAGATGTTTTTAAGATATGGAGTCCTTTAATTAGCTTAACTGCAATTCATGCATTTGGTTAGTATCATATTTTTGATTTGTAAAGTCTGTAATGAATAATATGATATCACTGAGATGATTTTCATTTTCAAACATGATGCAGTGCTCTGCTGCTGGGTGTGGCTGATAGATGTGTGATGGACTGGCCATCGATCACAATCAGGAATGCTTTCTACTCGTGGAAAACTGAACTCATGTCGCACCTCCCTGTTGCAACTTGTTGCGACTGAATGACAAATTATTCCTCCACTGCTTTCTTAATGAATCAGTCAGACATCTTTAGAGAGAAAGCAGGTCCAGTTCTTGTGTACCTCGCATGCATACTGACAGGCCCCTGGGGCGAGGAAAAGGTCAAGAGGAACGACTTCCTGTCTATCTTTTAACACTCCTCTGACACACCTTTAATCAGCACGCAGTGTATTGGTATTCAGATCAGGAAGCGATGTGGTGCAGGGATGCAGGCTTAGGCAGGCACCACATCATTCCTGAACATTATTAACTAACTGCATAGCCTGATAAGCCTGATCTCTCCAGTCAGCACTTTCCTTTGGCAGAGTGCAGCTCTCCTGTATCAGCCAAGAGGCTCTTTTCAGCACAGGATCCTATCCTGATCGGATGTTAGTATTCCAGACAATTATGGATTAAGGGAAATGGACTTCCTGGAGAAAGGTCAGCCATTGGCACACTTGGTGATTCTCTGGCTGGTTTCTACAATGTCCTGTATGCAAAGATCCACCAAAATGTCCTCTAGTACTGGCCTTCTGCACTGTAAGCACTAGAGTTGAAACCAACATGAGATGATAGAAACGTAAAGAAAGGCCTGGTTACTCACATATTCATCGGTGTTGGGGTCCTGGTTCTGAGGCTGGTCGGGCATGGGCACTTCACAATCAGGACTGTAGTGCTCACAGTAGTCATAGGCAGCACGATGGTCTCCTACAATCAATAGCTGCTGGATGTCTCCCTGGAAACCACAAGAAACAGGAAGTCGTGACTCAATGAACATAGCTACAAGTCATGCATTTAAACAAACAAGCAAACAAATGGAAGAGAGACGGCGGACACACTGGCGGACCCCCGGGGAGAAATGAAAGCGAAATAAACAAATAATGAGGAGGGAGAACATCTGTGAGCAGCATTATCACATGCAGAACAGGCAGGGCTAGAAACTAGGTCAAGCCGGGGGGGG